TTTCTAATTGTCTCTATATGAATGCATATTCAGAGTTCCATGCTCAGCTTTCAGGTGACAGTCTGGTGGGGCACACTCTTGTATCCTGTCTAACATCCTCACGCACATATTAGATACCTTAGAACATCTCAAATTGCCCTAGGTATCTACATTTAGACAACTGCATTGAAATTACTGACTTCTTCTCCAGTCAGTGAAAGAGGCAGCCATGTCCAAAGGTGGATTTACCACCTGTATCAGGTGGCTTTTCTCGGATGAAATAACCTGTCCCCCAGAAATATTGATTGTCCTCCACCAATGTGCAAGAAAACTAGATTGTAAAAGATGACTTACAATCAAGTGTGATGAGTTAATTGGGAAAAAATAGGGCAGGGCATTCCCCTCTCCATCACAGCTCCTTCAGGTGATTGCTGGATTTTAAGTATTCACAATCAGTTGCCTTTGGGTTTTGTGGCTAAATTGGAGTGGGATGTAATACTGTTTGCTTGTAATACAGTATCCTGGCATGGGTACTCAAGAATCTTGCTGTGGCAGCCAGAGGGAAGTGGGGAATATGCTTACCAGAAGGATTTTCTTACAGGCTACTGCTCGGAAAAAGATAATGGTGTCTCTGAGAGAACAAAGAAAACTTCAATGTCAGAAAAAATCTGTGCTGACCAACCAGTAGCAACCATTTTATTTCACTGGGGCATTTTCTGATCTACCCCCACCTTAAATAAAAGCACTAGATATCTAAGGTCTTATTGCTGCTTTGGAATGAAATACATCCCACCCTCCTGGCATTTATTTTTCTCTGCTGATTGTGACAGCTAAGGCAGATAGGAATATCTACCTTCTCCTCTTGGAATTCCACCACACTTTTCCTCAGGCTGATGTCTATATGAAAATAACAACCACCTTTCCTACAATAAATCACAGAATCACATTATCGCTGATGTTGGAAGAGGCCTCTGAGGATCATCTCATCCAACCCCCCTTTTCAAAGCACAGTCAAGTAGAGCAGGTTGCTCAGGTGTCCAGGTAAGTTCAGGTTGTTCAGGTTTCAGCTGGGTTTTTAATATCTCCAAGGATGGACACTTCACAACATGTCTGAGCAACCTGTTCCAATGTTTGGCCACCCTCACAAGGAAAAAGCTTTTTCTTATGTTTAAATAGAATTTTCTATATAAATAAATAGATAAATAATCCAATACAATAAAGGTCAGACAACAACAGCCTCTAAAGTCCTAGGTTTTCACCGACTACAAGGAATTTAAAGGGCCCTTTACAATAATTAAATTTTTACTGTAGTGATAGATTCCCTGCTTCAGACCAGACCTATAATATTTGGCCAAACATGTTCTATTATTAATTTTACTTACATTGGGATTATGCCACATGTGATATTATACAGCTGAAGTTAATAACAACTGTATTCCTAAACCAGTAATTAATAGCAGCAACTCATTGAAATAATATGACCTTCAAGGAGCACAGGCCTGGGACCCTGGAGACTGATATTCAATATTCAGCTCAGATGATGCTTCCTGATAACTATTGAGTCATCATGTTGTCTGGGCCTTAGTTTAGATGTCTACATCTCTCAATCATTCCAAGGTGTTCTTATATCAAGGGAGAAAGAGGCATCTCTAGAGCATGAATAGTCTCACAGTAGGACAGATGTCCAATGCAGAGTGCAGGAGTACAGGAATTTCCCTTTCTACATGGACTATACAGCCCTGGTTGACTAGCTCAGTCCTACACACATAACTTTTAGATGTCCAAAATCTGAAGCAAAATCTAGTTGTTATCTTCCTGTCCTTTGTTTTCAACGTTTCCAGAAGGATGCCTGTTACTTGTTTTTCATAACTTAGATAAGGGAGATGATGACAATATGTTCCTTTATAGAAGTTGCTTATAAAATTTCTTCACCGAAAAGGGTTGTCAAACCTTAGGGACATGGTTTAGTGGTGGACTTGGCAGTGTTAGGTTTACAGTTGGACTCGATGATCTTAAAGGTCTTTTCCAACCTGAATGATTCTGTGATTCTATAAAAGCACTGTCCCAGAACAAATAATTGTAGAGCAATATGATTCCTGAGAGTTAGACTAGGATTGTGCTCAGGGAAGCACATCTCAGCCTTGAACAACATCCCATACACTGGAATTCACACTGTCCTCTCTGCAAGAACATTCCCACCTCTTACCCATCCTGAACAGCAATTCAACATCAGATTATTTTTTCATAATTTAATCAGATCTAATATTTCATCTCTTTCTCTGGGGCTCACATGCTTCTGAAATATGAATAGCTACTGTGTTTGCTTTTCGCCATGGTGTTATTGCCAAATCTTGCAATCTATCTCTCAAGCCACTTCACCAATTTTCTCTTTGGGGTCCTGTTTCCTCCCCCAGCATGAAAATCAATGGCAGAAAGTGCATGGAAAACACAGTTTCACACATCATAATAACTCTTTGGTGGCTGTTATGTCCAAACAGAATAACAGAATCACTTCTCTTGCAAGGTAGCAAAAGAAAGCTCCTGGTTTTTGTGTTGTTTCCTAGTTGTAAGCAGTGTGATGCAGATTCAAGAAAAGCCAGGGGAATTTCTGCCACTGATTGAAATGGGGCCAGTATTTCACTCAGCACATTCAAAGGCAACAGTGGACACTGGCATGCCTGCAGGTTCCATATCTGATCCCTTCACATTATAAATAATTTTATATTTTCCCTAAAAAGAAGCAAATCTGAGAGGCAATGCACGGACCTCATCCTGGGACACGCTGAGTAAGCTGCAAGTTGCTAAACACCTAAGAGGGGACATACTATTTAGAGATAATTTAGCACTAGTAAAAAAATGCCATAGTGATTGACCTGAAGACAGATGTCCTCTGCATAGCCCACGCAGCGACGTGTTGTTGAGAGGATGGGATTCCTACAGCAGCATGGGAAAGGTGTGTGCTGGGCAAACTGAGATGAACTGTTATCCCAACTCCACAGTACTGTACTGCCCTGACAGAATGGATGTTGCATTAAACCAAATCGATGTGAGAAAAATTATTTATTTAACCCTTAGGAAACATTAAGTTGTATTTACAACTACCAAAATGTTTTTAACAGTGAAGCATTACGAAGTACTGATTTCCCAAGTTTATATAAATTTCTACAATTATTAATTCAAAGAGATTAAGCTTGCAAGATATTAGGAAGAAAACATATGTTATTGGTATAAACACTGCTAAAGAGCTGATGATGCCAGAAATACTACATGACAGACTCTTTATTTTAAGTCACATAAGTGTATTCTGTATGAAAGGATTTGGTTTGTGCAGTATATATAAATTCAATAACTCGGCTGGCTCAGCTGCATTGATTCCTGAAGCTGTGTCATTGGCACCATCTATTTTCTGCACACACAACGCAGCGGTGATGAGTGTGATTGAAGTATCTGTATACAGAAACAGTACCATGTGAAGAAATGTCCTGGGCAAAAAATAGCTTTCACTGAAAATATGTCCTTTACAAATAGGAATAGTTCCTAAATTTAGTGGGGGTTTAAAGACAGATTGTTTTACATTAGCGTCGGAAGTGATTTCATGTCTATTCTTCTTTCCTCTCCCCCTTTTTCCTTTTATCTTTCCCCTTTTTTACCCTCACCTTTTTTTCTATTTGTATGAGGACACAGCAAAAGATCTCACTAAAGGAACAAAAAAGAAAAGAAAAAAGAACAGGAAAGTAAAGAAGGAAAAGAAATATACAGGTGGCAAAAACCTACTCAAAATATTGTCATTTATTAAATTATAGGCTTTCTGTAGACTTTTTGAGTGAGCTAGAAAGATGTTTCCTTTAGAAATATATGGACCAAAAGTGGATTTATTGACAAATGACAAGCAGTAGACGTAGATAGACTGAGATTTGTGGGTTATTTTCTGCTTCTGTTTCATGGTACTCATCACATAGACTCAGCAGTTTTGTTGCTTTACACACAATCATGCTTAATGTAAGCTTTCGAGAGCAGACCCTCTCTCGCTGTGGGTTTTTATAACAACAAACTGAATGGACCACAGGTCTCAAGTGTTGTTATAGCACAAATAGTAAATAAAATAATGGGAAGACAATGGGATTTTAGTGTATTCCCACTAAAAAGTTGATGCTATATGCTTTACTGCAAGAAAAATTACCAGAAGTGTTTAACTGGATCTTGAGCGTGGTTCTATCTGTCTCTGTCTTTTTCTTTCACCCTCCACACATTCACCCTCCTCTTATCTGCACAAGATTCAGCACTATTATCTTAGTACCTCCCAAAGCTCTAGTGGTACTAACTAATTTCAGAAAACCCCAGAGACATTTTACAAACTAAGGGCTTGGGCTCTGAAGGGGGCCTGATTCTTCATCTCTTTGCTGTAACAATATTTAGAGAATGATGTCCTTTCTTCATGCTCTGTTATGTCAGGCATGTGTGACAACTGCAGAACTGTCATCACAGCTCCTCTGAGATTAGTTCTCTTCCATACTTGGTTGCTAGTTAAAGGGCTGATGATGAAGTGACACAGTGAGGTCAGGGTGCATCTCACGGGCAAGATAGTGCTCAGCCCACCATAGGTGCTAGCTAACATCTTGGTAGCCTATTGCATGGTCACTTCTTATTGGTGAGTCCCCATATGCTCTAGAGGTGTTCTCCTCAGGTAGCAGCCTGAGGAGGAAGGAGCATCCTAGCTGGACTGTGGAGACCCCTGGCAGCACAAAGTTGCCAGATGTTGGCCACTCTAAAGCCCTCTTAGATAGCAAGAGAGTCCTCTCATCATTTTAGAAACCAGCAAGTGGTTTACCTGGGAGCTTAGCTTCAGTCTTACAAAGAAGGGATTGCAGAAGCAAGGTGGAAGAGGGGTCCGGGCTTTGTCTAGCCAATTCTCATCACAGGACTGATTCCTGCTCCTTTAGATCCTAGGTAAATGTTGTTTTGGGGTAAAAGTGACTTTCTGCCATGTCTAGCCCTGCCCCCTGTTACTAGCTGCAGCTGGCATGAAGGACTTGGTGTGTAATCCAGAAACAGGTCATGTGGTGAAGATGAAGAGGCAGCGTGTAAGCGTGGGTTCCCGTGGAGGAACGGAGAGTCTTTCACAGACACTTGCCACACTGAGGGACAATGTCCCACATTGTCCAGCATTGTGGCAATACCTGAGGTAATTTTTGAGACAGTATTTGAGGTAATAATAGGGGAAGTCACAGTTCTTGTCCCTTCCTGAGCAGAAGAAGGAAGAGAACTAATGGTCAATCTGGAATGTAGCATTTACCAGGTAATAATTGTTGTCCCATACAGGAATTAGAATAATGAAAGAATATAATTCTCTCTAAGGGAAACTGAAAAGCCTCCAGTTCCATACCCTTCCTCACTACCATATTGATTATGCCTAAATCTTTCCCAGAAGATGTAAAGCCTTGTAATAAATGAGATATCTTCTCCCTTAGGCAATTTCTCCCACCCCTTCCCTATCTTAGGAGATCTGATTAAAACATAGCAGAGCTTCTCCTTCAATGGAAGAATACTACAACAGAGCCTACCAACAGGCTCTGGTAGACCCTGAAGTTCTCCAGAACCATGTTTATTTTTTTTAGGTGAAAACTAAATGTCAGTTGATTCTGGGCCTGGAAGAATCTAGCTCTGCTCTATTGGTTCATGGTGATCCACTTGCTCTTCTCTTTCTAGATCGACAGCATGCAGGCTCTGCTTCATTGCCCCAGTGTGCTGGTGTGTGTCGGCCGGGAGCCGTTTAAGCCTGTATCGATGGAGAATTTGAGGAAACACTCGGTGGAGAAGCTGCCCGACCTGGCTCCCCATTCCAATGGCAACAATGTTAATGAAAACAATGAAAGTAAGAAAAACTCTGGGGCATATGGCACAGTCGTCTCCAGGCCTGTGTCCCAAAACATGGAGATTACAGGCACCTATTGTACTGCCCCAGCGTGCAGGTTTCATGTGCAAAATATACTTCCCGCTCTCTGCCTCCCAGGCCTTTCCATCCTCCCCTTCTTTTTCTCTGGTTTCCTTCTAGGATTTCCTCCCTACACCCTCCAGTCTTTCTTTTACATGCTCCCCGTGTCTGGCTGACTTCCCTTCCTCTTTCATATCTCTGTGTCTCCTTTTCCTTCCAGAACTCCCTCCTTTCCTGTGTCTGCCTCTGAGACACCCCAAACCCTTGAGATTTCCCACGAATACTCTATCCCCTTGTCTGTCTGTCATATAATGCCCCCAATTCTGCATTTGCCTGCATCAGAGGATGCCCTGGTTTTGTCAGCAGGAGACTCAGTTTCTCTTGCAGGTTACAGCTGCAGTGTAGCCCTTTGGGAACAAAGCACATTTTTATGGAAAGGTTATGTACAGGAAGGAACATGTATTCGGTGATTCAGGATGATATTTCTTAGGGACTTCATCATGAGTTATCTAAGGTCACAGGTAATTAAACCAGCCACCCTTGGTGGCCTATGGAGAGCACTTCCCATTTCCAGAGGGCAATTCATCTCACCTATATTAGGCATTTATTTTAGGGTGAAATGAAGTGTGCTCTGGAGGTGCACCTGTTTCTCTCCATTGTCAATACCAGGAGCCAGGAAAGATTCATTCATATGTTGACAACTAGTTGTCAAAACTTAAGGACAGAAGCATCCCACACTCACTGCCTGAGACATAAAAAATTGGAGGAAGCAGTGGGAATAAGCCGAAGTTTTGTCTGTCAAGAGACTGAGCAAATATACCAGTTCAAATGCATAAGGATGGTTAGATAGAAGTTATTTCATGTGTTACTGATCTTGGCTGGTATGCTCCCTGTTCAACACTACCTTCCTAAAATGCCCTCCATTCAGCTGCATATCCATATGCCTACAGAGGCATGTGGTTGTCTAGATATATAAAAGTAAGCTTTGAACAAATATATGTATTAGAAACAAGATAGATGCATATCTTGCAAGGCAGTGTGATAACAATATACCCTGCTTGAAATGAAGGATCTAGGACCTCAATACATCTATGCAGATCGCTGCACTGGGCCATAAAGATGTGCTTTGGATTATAATTCTTAAAATTCCCTTACCATCACTGATATACACTCTCCTCTATAACTGCCACTATTTCTCTTTGTAACTATCACCAGCTTACAATTCCTTTTCCATTTGTTCTTTATGTTTTAATAAGCATTATAATTATTCATAGTGGCACATCTCTACAGGGACTGAGTGCTGCTCTGGTCTACGTGGTCACACCTGTGTTTCCTGGCACATGAGTGGAGAAGTGGGTGATGCACAATAAATGTGACAATTGACCCCTTACTAAGGAAGAGGGTCACTTCTCCATGTATTTTTCCCCAAATGAATGAGAAAGATGAAAACTTGCACAGTTAAATAAAGGGATATTTGCAATCTGATAAAATACAGAAACTCTGAGACTAAATTGCTTTGTATATATATGTTTTTTCTTCCTGGCATGCACATAATACAATAAAAATGTGGTTGTGTTTCAGTTTAGATTTGGAAAAATAATAAAGTATAGAAGATTTTAATACAGACTATTCATTCAAATCTTAATGTTTATGGCCATGATTTAATCAAAGCCAAATTTTCAGATTATGTAAACCAGCATAGGCTTAGTTTTAATGGAATAATATCACTATTACTAGTTTGAGGGTCTGATCTATACATTTTCTGTCATCTTTATATGAGTTAACATTTCTCTCCATCTTTCTTTTCTTTACCTATTTCAAACTCCAGTGAACTTTGGACTGAAAGCCAAAAAAAGTGTTATCCATCCACGGTCATCATCAAGCAACAGGTCAATGAGATTTTCTTTATCATCTGAAAAGTCATACCCTAATGGTCTCGCTGCCTCACCAGATAATGGCGCACCTTTCTCAAACAGTTGTTCGCATCCAAAACCTGGGGACCTGGTCCATTCCTTGGTCAATGACGACATAGAAAAACGGGTACATGTGAACAAGGATGGTAGCCTGTCTGTTGAGATGAAAGTTCGCTTCCGCTTGCTAAATGATGAGACTTTGCAATGGTCCACCCAGATCAAAAAGTCCAATCTGATGAACCAGATGCCTTGTGAAGAGTCAGGTGTAGAGGAGGACAGTGGAGTAGACCCCATACAGAAAATGAACCCAGAAGTCAGCTCAGAGGCAGATGAGTCATTATATCCCTGTGATATTGATTCTTACATGTCAAAACTTGAGGAATCAGAATGTGATGAGGCTCATTGTCATAGCTGTGGCAAGAAACCCCAAGACTATGACATTTGGAAAAACCCCATGCACGCATCCCAGAGGGAAGAGCCCAGTGTACGAAGCACCTGGCACACGCGGTCATCATGCTCCAGCACATCTTCTCGGAGGAGAGTAGTCCACAAAAAAATGGCTTCTGTGGATAGCCTCCACACCACATCCAGTGAGGAATTCTCTGAGCACATTGTGCAAGAGTCCTCATCCTACTCAGAGACTATAGAGAACAGGGTAGCATATCGATCCATTAAAAAGCGTACATGTCGAAGTGATTTGTCTACAGGTGCTTCCAATGGAGAAGACCAGCAAGAATACACTCGGACAAGCACGAGCAATAGTCAAAGACCTTCATCTTTGGGCTTAATGTCACATTCAAGCTGTGAAAACAATCTGGATACTCAAGACGCCTCTGATGACCATGAGGCCAGCAAAACTAATTCACAAAATGAAGATGAAAATTGTTTTGAAGTTTCCTCTGTAAAGTGCTTAAAGGATGATGTGGAAGAGGTTAAAAGCAGCAGAGTTGGGAGTGTCATGTCAAGGTCATCTCTGCAGTCCAGACAGAGCAAGAAGAATGTATGTGAGGAAACAAGTAGCATGGGTAGGAGCATGTCCTCCTCCAGCCTTCAGAAGGCAAATCAAGAAGATAACACTGGGTGCTCCACTCCTGCCAACAGTGTGCACAGCAAGTCTAGTAACTGTACTGCAAGAGCGAAGAGTGAACCGGATGACCATTCTGACGACAATGCAGTGGTCTCCTCCTTCTCCAGTGAGTCCTGCCCTAAGAAAGACACTGAAGAGGTTGAATCTGAACAAGAAGAAAATGAAATCAATGAAGTCAGCTCAGTGTCAGCAAAAGCAAAGCCCAGCCAATCAGCTAGAGATGGGAGCAGTGAAGGTGAACGATGCTCTACACAGGGAACCCCCCATTCCAGAGCTAGTGACAGGAACAGCAAGAGAAGTGACAGTGATGAGATTGTTCTGTGCAATGCCTCTTGCTCTTCCAGAGGATCCAAAAAGAGCAAATATAGTCATATTCATTTGGATACACAGTCTGAAATGTCTGTGTCTTCACTTGAATCCACTCCAAATAAAAAGAAGAATTCCCTACATGCAGATGATCTGAGATCATGCAGCAGGGCATCTAATTACTCCAAAAGCTCATGTGAAATCAAGAAAAAATCTATTGGAGACCCCATGTCTCATAACTCAGGATCTTTTCACTCAAACATTTCATCTATTAGTGAAGCAGAGGCACTTGCAGGTTTTACTGAGGAGAAAAGCTTGAAAAGTACCACCAATGGCTACAGTGAATCCTCAAAAGGCTCAAAGAACAGAAGCCATAGAGAAGAAAATAGCAAGCCATCATCCCTCTGCTCAAGTGTTTCAAGCCCTAATGGAAAAGCTGGAGAGGGTCATTCCAAGATGAATTCAGAGGCCCCTTCTTCAAGACATGGAAGTATGAGTGAAAGTGTGTGTTCAAAAGGTGACCTCTCAACTGAGACTAGGATTAGGAATGGAACTCCTGCAAGTGTCTCTTCAAGAGTCTCTTCAAAATCAGAAGTAAAAGATAAACGCTTGTTGACACAGATATCCCTGGAAAGTGATGATAGGTGTTCACATTCAAACATATCTCAATCTTCAAAATCAAGGCAGATAAAAACTAGAAATCTTCGTGTGAAGATGTCAAACTCCAGCCGAGCATCATTGTCTGAGACTTTATCAGTGTGTAGTATGCATTGCCCTGCCCCACCAAAAGGGAAGCCAAACAGCAAGAAAATACGGTCAACCATGTTGAAGAACCCCTCCATTAGCAGCATAAGTACTGAGTCAGTGCTGACCACAGGAAAAAAACAGAAAGAAAATATAGATTCCTCCAGAGCAACTTCCTATGGGTCTAAGTCAGCTGCAACTGAAGTAAATGATCAGAAGAATAAAGAGATTGATGACTTTTGTGGCAGAAAAGTGGAGGAAGAGTTAGAAGGCATGGGCATGCAGGAGGAAGGGAGTGATTTAATGCCATCTACTCTACCAAATACGTCTCCAGAAGAAGTTGTGCAAGAATGGCTAAGTAAAATCCCTTCAGAAACATTACTTATGAAATATGAAATGGAGGATGATGCAGAAGAGGAATGTGTAGAGGCAACCACTGAGGTATCATACTCTACAAATGCTGAGGAAATCTCAGAGGATGAAAAAACTGAGAAAAAGAAGTTGGAGGAAGATGAAAATGAGGCAAAGGATGAAGTGGGAAAAGAGACACCGGAAGACACTGCTATTAATGAAGTGGCTGAAGAATGTGTGAATCAGGAACAAATCTCTGAGGTTGTGTCTGAAGCTGCCAAGGCCGACAAGGCAGAATGCAGCCAGTCAGTTACATCCAGCCAAAATAACAACAGAAGAGACCTTCCAGCCTCTGTCCAGACTTCCGTCCAGATCATGAAAGCCTTGCTCAGTTCAAAACATGAAACAAAATTTGACCGATCAAACAGTTTGCCTGAAGTGTCCCCCACTATGGGGAGAAAACTGAGTAACTCTGCCAACATTTTGATTACTTGTCTTGCCAGTCTCCAGCTCCTTGATGAAGAGTCAGAAGATCCATCAGATGAATCAAAATATTTGAATAAGCCAAGGTATATTGAGCTGCTAAATATTTTTCAAACCCTGTGGTTTGGATGCACAGCTGAAAAAAGTGGTCCAAGTTCAGGTCAAGAGGCAAACGAGCAGGCAAAGACAGCCTCTGGGTTTAAAGCCCCAAAATCTGTACATTGTGACTTCACTCCCATGTCCTCCTCTGGGGTTGATGTTAGCAGTGGTTCTGATGGCTCGGGAGAAGATAGTACAGGTGGTGCCAGGGACTGCAGTTTAATGGCACAGAAAACTGTTGAATTCAAATCAGCTGGACAAGTGGAAAATGTAGAGACTGGAACTGAACTGACTGAGGCTGAGGACCAAAGTAAAGAGGAAGAGCAGTCATCCCAACCTTCAACAGCCTGCTCAAAATCAAAAGGTGAGGAAAAAGCACAGTCTACTAGAGAGGACTCTCTAATTCAGGAGGCAGAAGAGAATGAGGATGAGTGCAGTAACTGTGAAAATGGTCAGGAGGAAGGGAGAGAAAATGAAGGAAACAGCAAATTAGCTGAAAGTGGAGAACAAGAAGAAGTTGAAGCTGTGAATGATGAACTCCCAAAAGAAAATCTTGAAGAGAATGCTGACCAGCTAAACAATACTGATGATACAAATGTCAATGATGTTGATTGTGGGACAGAACTGAAAGCTGATTTGGAAGAGCAGCTTGAAAAAGAGTCTCCAAATGACTCAAAGCCCAAAGTCTATACAGCCGCCAGTGTGGGCACATCCCTTGTCCAGCGAAACTCAATGGATCCGGATCCAATCTGGGTCCTGAAACTCCTCAAGAAAATCGAGAAGGAGTTCATGGCTCACTATGTCAGTGCCATGAATGAGTTCAAAGTCAGGTGGAACCTGCAGAACAACCAGCAGATGGATGAAATGATACTGGAGCTGAAGGAGGAAGTGGGTAAAAGGATACAAAGAAGCATAGAGAAGGAGCTGAGGAAGATCAAAGCCAGAGCAGGGAAGAAGACACCAGTACCTCCAGATGAACCACTCAAGTGTGAGTTAACACTCCAAACTGAGCAGAGGAGGCGGAGACTGCAGACTATGCATAAAAAGTCACTCTTCAGTGACAAGAATGGAACCCAGAGTAGGCTAGAGGACACATCAGACTTATCATTTGATGTAGATGAAGATATAGCATTTAGTGCAGCTTTTGAGGCCAGTATTAGTAAACAAACAAGTGAGGACGAATACTGCCCATGTGACTCTTGTGCAAGGAAAAAAATGGCTTCCAAGCCCACAAGAAACCCAATGGTGGCCACCAATGCCCCAGTCATGAAAGCATTTGATTTACAGCAAATCCTGAGGTTGAAGAAACATGGTAATGAGGAAACCTGTGCCTCAGAAGCAGCCCAGGACATCAAAATTATTCCCAGCAGTTCTGTGAAAGAAGAAGCAGAAAACAGTAATCCAAATGAGAATGATGAGGGTGAACTTCAGCCAAGTGAAATGGAAGTGGAGGGCAATGAAGAAAAGGAGACAGAATTAAATGAAGGGGACAGCTCAACATTGAACGGAGATGGAGAAGGACCTGAAATATCAGAGAGTCAAAACTGTGAGATGGAGGATGAGGTTAAAGATGAAGAAACCAAAGAAGAAGAAAAGAAAGAAGCAGAAGAAGTGGGGGAAGAAGAAGAGGAAGCAAAAGAGGAGGAAGAACAGAAAGAGGAAGAAGAAATTATGAAGGCAGAAGAGGACGAGGAAACAAAAGAGGAAGCAGAGGGAGAAACAAAAGAGAACAAAGATGAGGAGGTAAAAGAGGAAGCAACAGAAGAAACAAAGGAGGAAGAGGAAATAAAAGAGGAGGAAGAGAAGGAGGAGGAAGAAGAGGAAGTGAAGGAGGAGGAGGAAGAAACAAAAGACGAAGAGGAAGACATGAAGGAGAAGGAAGAAGTGGAAGAGGAGGAAGAGGAAGTGAAGAAGGAAGAGGGAGAAGAAGAGGAAGGCATGAAGGAGGAGGAAGAAGGAACAAAAGATGAGGAAGATGAGGAGGAAGAAACAAAAGAGGAGGAGGAAGAAGTGCAAGAAGAGGAAGAAGTAACAAAGGAGGATGAGGAAGCAAAAGAAGATGGGGAAGAAACAAAACAAGAGGAGCAGGAAGTGGAAGAAGAGGAAGAAAACCCAAAAGAGGAGGAGGAAGCAAATGAGGAAGAGGATGAACAAGAAGAAGAAACTCAAAATGAAGAGCAGGAAACCGAAGAGCAGTTGAAAGCTGAAGATGAAACTGACAATGAAGCTGAAGAAGCAGGGGAGCCAGAGGATGAGGACATTGGGGCTGATGACGAGGAAGAGACATCCGAATACGGAGGAGATGTTGATGGCTGTGGTACTGACAACAATCCTGAAGGAGATGCTGCAGAAGGAAGTGAGGAAGCTGAGCAGGATGAAGCTAAGGCAGTGGAAGATGCAAATCCAGAGTCAGAAGATGAGGCATGTTCAGCTGAGGAGGAAAACAACAGTGAAGGAGGTGATAAATATGATGAGAATGATCAGGAACCTACCAGTGATGACCCTGACAAGGCACATGAAAAACACAAAGACAAAGGCAACAACAAGATTTCTGAGAAAGCCTCAAAGGCCAAACGCAAAAAAGACAGCAAAAGGCTAGAGACTCTGGACAAAGCAGCTGCCTTTTCTTGTTATTCTTCCATGGGAAACTTCTCACAGCAATCCCAGAAGGGGTCTGAGGATGAAGGTGAAGAGGAATGCAAGGATGACAACAACCCCATGAACAACCACCCCAAGGGAGAGGTTCAAAGTGATGAGAGCAGCAAACCCTCACAGATGTATCCTGACAGCGAGGAAGAAGAAGAGGACAAAGCATCTTCATGCACTGATTCTTTAGGAGATGAGGACAAGGCAGATGCTGAAGGTGCAGATCTAAAGAAAGTTGAACATACTGATGAGGTTCAGGCTTCTAAAGAGAAAAAAGACTCTGATGAGATTGACCAGGATGACCTGGACTTCTAGAACTGCTTATCAAAAACTGCTTTTTTCTTTCTTCCTTTCTTTCTTTTTTAAAAGTATATTTTCATTACATATTACAGTATCTCCAGTGAGTTAAGCCATCATAATTGGCTTTTCTTCTGACTTAAATGTGGTAAACTTGATCTTGAATCCTGCGAGTAACACTGCGATTACCTGCCCTCATTTCTAGAGGGCTAGTAAACTCATTAAGATTTAGTGGTTTCAATAGAAAACTGGTCTGGGGAAAGGGAAGGCTGTTTTGTTTTTGATACCTTCTTGTTCCCGCTCTTTAAGCCATGCTGTTTGCTGCTTGAGTGATCTGTGTCTCTGCTGGGCATCATCTCTGAGTGACTTCAGGATACTTTTTGTCTGTTGCACGCCATTTTCCTGGAAAGATTGCCAATCCACAGAAACATGACAAAATCTGGATTCATTGCCAAAGTCTGGTCAGAGCCCACAGAGATGTACATTCATTTTCCCCCCTACCCTACCCTACCCTACCCTACCCTACCCTACCCTACCCTACCCTACCTTCTCTGTACCCAGAAAAGGGGTCTGAGATATCAAAGTCTTCCCCCACTTTCTCTGTTTTTCTTTAGTAGAAGTTGAGATCATTCCTCACTTCACTGGAAATCCTCAACACCCAGAAAGGTCATTCCAGTAGATTTCTCCTCTTCCAGACCACCAATCTGTTTGTACTGTGCCCACCACTGTAGTATGTAGTGATGTAGCAGTAGATAACAAAGAAGAGTTAATTCACTTCTCAGGTATCTGAGAAGTGATTGAATGCAATATTGACCAAATTAGAAATGAGTAAAGTTCAATTCCTTGTGATTACCTTTACTGTGCTAACAATGGTATCTAAGCACTTTACAATCATCTGGGATCCCTCAGATGATTTTGTACGAGGTTCTGTTCCAAAGCTAACAGGATTTGCAGTTGCACAGAGCCTTGCCCTTGCAGACAACCAGTAATACTTAAACTAATTTTACATTCTCTGTTCCGAAGCTAACAGGATTTGCAGTTGCACAGAGCCTCGCCCTTGCAGACAACCAGTAATACTTAAACTAATTTTACATTTAACATGGAAAAGGTTTGGGGATTTGTGCCACAACAAACAACTGGAAGAGGCTCAAGCATTCATTGGAGAGGTTGGACTTTACAAATCACGATAGAACTGCAAACTTCATTTAACAACTATTTTCTACCAGATTATATCTTTTTTTCCCCTGGGACAATATATACATTTCTGGATAAATACCCAGCTAATGCCAGAAGTTTGACCATGCCTCAGCTACATGCATGCAGTAGTTTCTTTGGGAAACAGTCTGTTTTATCAATAATTTGCAGGGAGAATAAAACAGCAAAAAACTAAGACAGGGTGAAAAATAATGCCTTAAATTGTATGGTGAAAAAGTATGTGTGTAGTATTGTGCCAGGTTTATAAAGGTGCATGCAGATATGTTGAAATGATCAACATTCAAAATCAAATAATTAATAGTTATAATTTTAAGAATGAATTTCTTAAACTCATAGCCAGTCAATTGATTTCCAGACATAAGATTCATTTCACTCAAATTAAGAATTGGGTTCAGCTCCAGATATGCATACTTTATTTTAGATGTCTATGTGGAGTAGTCAGTGGAGAGCTAGATCTCAGCTGAGCTGCTCTCACAAAGGCTTACCGTGCCATCTGAGATCCTCCGGGGAGTCCAACACAACCTCGCCATCCTCAAGACACAGAAGTTAAGAAAAATCTGGGTCTTCCTAAAAAAGTGCAACCCCATCTGTTAGCCTCATGTGGATGTCTTGGGTTTCCTAGGACGTCTCAGGTGGGACTACATCTCTCCCTAGATGCAACTCAGTTGAACCCTGAATCTATCTCAAAGTTTGATATCTTCTCTCATCTGGTAGTCTCAATTCCATGTTCCTCTGTAGACATTTCCAGACGTAAGATTACTAGCTTTCAAACAGCTTAGGGTCTACGTCGTTGTTTAAACATAGAAGTTTAGTGCCAGGGCCTAGGAAATCCAGCATCATGCCCCGGTGTTGGTCTGAATGGGTGCAGATCTCCTGTAGGTCCAGAGTTATATCACAAGCTCCTTGTAAATGTCAGGGTTGCTCCAGGGCATCTTAAACTGCATTAGTCATGGATGTAAAAACCTGAATCACAGAATCCACCCCTAAAGTTGTGTAAATAAATCCTACCTCAAGAAACTGAAGCACAAGGTTAAAACTAAATGTTAAAACTCAATTGACTTTGAAGTACAGGAAAAAACCCCTTATTCTCCTCTGACACAGAAACCTTTATGTGTTTTCTAGTATCTCAGTATTGCACTAACAGGTTAATTCCCACATCTAGAGTACATGATGAACACCATACCTGCTCCAGTGGCCAATCCTGTAACTTCTGTACCATTAAAGCTCCCTTTAAGGTGCTATTTGAAGGTTCAGGCAGAAACTGTTGTGCATGAGCTCAGTGCTGGGCTCTGCACGTAAGTGAACATTGTTTGTATGAGCTGGATTTGATTGCAAATGCCTTCAAGCACGCACCATTCACAACAGACTTGATAATCCTACTGAATCCTCCTTGTCTAGACCTATGCTCGTGGTTAAACACAGCACCCACACATCAGCTGTCCCTCTGGCATTTACTGTCTGGGTCAGAAAGAAAGAGAGCTGCTTCATGGCAATTTTCCCCTTCTGTAGTGATGTCCCATGACATCAACAACCTTACTCTGTATTAAACCTGTCCAAGGTTTCCACAAGCTGATTCAAAAACACTTTATAAGGTGTCCAGAGTGAGGAATGTAAAAAATACAGTTACATCTACTGATTTATAATTAAGGGAAAGGCACCAAGGAGAAAGTTACAGCCAGACTGGATTCATACCACTAATTCTAGGCATGTGCATCAGGTGTTTTGTCCCAGGTTCTCCAGGCAACATGAAGAGACAAGGTCTCCCAGCAATTATGCACAGTGTGACACAGGACTGTTATCTGGAGGGGTGAAGCCATGGACCATAGCATTCTAACCCAGACACTTTGAGCAAATGTTTGAATTCAAGCTGTGAACTACCCCTGCAACTTGGAAGTTGGCCAGGTCCCACCAGGCTGCTTGGTTCGAAACCCAGCCTAGGGAGATTGGGTGAAGGCTGCAGCACCCTTGTTCACTGGTGCCTGCTAGGGAGCTATTCCAGATGCCAGGGGAAAGGTGTTTGCTGCCAAAAGCAGCCTGTTATTTAGTGCTTGTCAGTCCCTGCAGGAGAAAGGCTGGCCCAGCGTGGCTGCTCAGTGACCCTGCAGCATGCATCTCTTCATGTCGGTAGTGACTGGCAGGTACAGAGTCATGTGCAGAAGCATTTTCATTTCGTAGGGAGGAAAGTGAAATGTCTGCTTTCTGAGGCATCGACTCTTGCAGGATTCAGAAATGCACTGAGCTGGGTAGTCATAGCTCTGATCTTGGCACGAGACACACACTGGAAGTGGTACGCATTGACTTAACTTTAAACATTTCTGGTGAAGATGTCTCCCTCTGAGCCCACCATCCAGACTCCCATTATAACCAGCAGGGAGAGAGAGGCAAAGAAGAGCATGATTCATCTGCTGTAGACAACTATGTTAGGAGGAGATGAATTACACTCTCAGCAGGCCTGTTTCTCTCTGCTGAGTGCAAAGGGCGTCTAGACAAGTTGCTCAGATGGATATGTCTCATATGGGAAGAGCTGATCCCAGACTGCCTCCCCAAAAGCATCTTACAATGCTTACTGTCGTGACTTGCAGACTCTGCCAGGCAGCAGCTCAAGCCAGTCATCCCATGGAAGTTTTAAAGATGTTTGTTGGCTCCATGATCACCCTTCTCTGCTATTGCTAAAAGCCACTGCTAGGACTTAATGGGTTAGTGAAAGGGCAAACATTTCCCAGGGTTTCTCCTCCAGCTGTTGACTTTGCTCATTTTAAAGCCACTTGTGTATAGTCAACATCACACCCCATCCATGTTTAGTCAGTAAGTTCCCCAGCAAGGAGAAAGAAATCAAATAAAACACAAAAATGCAATCACCAAACCATGAAAACCGAAATCACCGGAGTTCCCCCCCATGAGACCTGTCCCACTCATGCCTGTGTTTGTCACCTTCTGTGTTTGGGCAGTGACTCACACGCATGCCTGCCCTTATCGGGGCAGCGTGGGCTCTGCACCCACACAGCCTGCTCACAAAAAGCCTCATTCAGAGGGGCCGGGGAGCAGTCGCAGTGTCAGTCCAGGATGCAGATGTTGCCGAAGTAGGTGTTTCTTTCCTCCATCAGTCTCTCCCAGGATCGCCCAGAGCATCCGTGAACGAAGCACGCAGCTGAAAAGGATCCCTCGCAATTACATCTCTCGCGCTTGCACTGCTTCCAAAGTTTACATTTCCCCTTGGCTGGTATGACTCACGCGCGTGTTCAGTCTTGCAGCTTCCCTCTCCCTCTTACAGCACGGGAACACACGTTACCAGCCAGCTCCAGAGCTGTCACGTTTATACCGGCTGGAAAGATAATGCTTGTCACCACCCGGAGGGGATTACAGCTGCTGTCTTTCAGCAGAGCTGAGGAGGAGGGAGGAGAGGCAATGCGAGACTTGCACAGCTGTATGGCATGTTCGGTTGTGCATAGCCGTATGGCATGTTTTGCTGTGCATCTCTATTTCTCTTTTGGATGTGCTTTTTTTTCTACCAGCCAGACAAATTGCTTCTTGATGTGTGTTGGTTTTGTTTGCTTGTTTGTTGTGTTTTTTTTTTTAAATAGGAACAACAGTTCCTATTTAAACAGTGAATGTTCCTACTTAAACAGTGAAAGATGATGATGAGCATGGTGACAATGAAGGTGTAAACCACTGAAATAAAAGAAATGTGCTTTCTAAAGCTGAGCTCTTCATAGATGTGTGCAAGCAGACACTCCTCTCAATAATGGAGGGCAATAATCCCCCTTTCCTGGTAGGTCCTTGCTGACCTAGCACCGTATTTAGCT